CCTGGTGAGCTTCTCCCACACACAAGACTCAGCCAGGATCACCCAGGGCTCTGCAAGGGGGCCTATCTGGCATCGTTCTCAGGGCTATGGCAGTGTTACTGTGGCTGGGCAGGGGTAGATATTAGCAGTGAATCTCAGCTGGGAATCAGAGCTCCGGTTTTACATTACACGCATTGTTACAGAGTGCAGTCAGTGCGGATATCGAGCCGTGCCGAGTTACACACCATGTGCAGGGATCCATATGACTCTCATTAAAAAGTGACAAGTTCAGGCCATCAGCGAGACATAATACCTCCTGACAAGGAGGGGAGGATGGGACTCACAGAAAACGCCCAAACGTTATTGTATCCAGGTTAATTCACGAAAGCAAGAATTCAAAGCAAATTTCACATTTAAGGTCAAACTGTTAAAATTGTCTTATTCAGCCTGGTTTTACTACGGCTATACTGCTCTTAAATTAAATTTACTTTTAGTTAGTAAATAAATCTGATAGTCTTGTCGGATTACACGTTTCTGTAAAAATGATCCAGTTTTTCACAGCTGATTCCGTTAGTCTATGTTCCCTGACCCCGTTTCTGTAAAAATAATTGTAATGTAATTGGTTATTGTGACGAGACGAATCTCGCCACATTGCATTGGAGGAGCCTGGTTGCCTGCCTGCTGCCTTTTGACTATGGACCGGCATTTAAATACTTTATTTTCCTATGCAGAAAGGTCTATTCATGTTTTCTGCCCTGGCGTTCGGTAGATTCTCGGATTTACTGAATGAACTCATATAACCCAGATAGCTATGCCATGGAGCCTATTCGTGTAATAAAAGACTTTGGCTCCATGGCTATTGAACTGTATGTGTGTGGTCTGAGCACCATTCAGTAATAATGTGCGCTCAAACATAAGCTATCTGGGCATATGTTGCATGTCTGTATTTTATGTAATCAATGTAACCTTGTGTATTTTATTGTATTTTACTGTCTTTTTACTGCCATGTGCTTAATGGAGTTTTGCCTCTGTCCTTGGAGATAATTGGATTACTTCCCAATTATCTCCAGGATAGAAGACTCTGTGGAACTGGTTTTGGGCAGAAAAGCCATGCTTCCTGTGGTCACAAAGGACTTTGATCTAGCTTTTGAACCAATGGACCAATTTGAATGATTTTGACATATGTTTGTATTTGGAGTATGCTGATTCTGAAAATGTAAGTGAATGTGATGCATACTTTTCAAGTTATGAATAATGTGGGAAAACTGTATTTCTCTGGCTGTGATAATGAAATCACCCATTATGTAAGGTAATTGTATCACAGGCAGAGGGGAGGATTTTGTGTGGGAGTGTTTGAGTGTATTGTACGTGTTTATTGGTTGTTTTCCAAAACCCTGTGGGTGGTACTAATGTGTATATAAGGACAATAAACCCACAGCTGTGTCTGTTCCTGCTTGACCCTCAAAACGGAGCCTTGTCTCGTTCTTGGGGGGGATTTATTGTATGCTGTTCCAGTTCGACTGCTAGGAGTGTAAAACTATTCGTATGGTTTTTCATATTCGGCTGTTTACAGCATTCATATGGTTTCCTGTTCGGCGGATTGGTGTTCTGCAGTAGCTGTGCCTGTGTCTCTGGAAGGGAAGATCTACTAAACGGCGGCTTAACCCTTTTATGCCCGGGGTGCCGTTACACAGCGAGTCTAGCTGCCCCTGTGATATACAGAGAGTCCCTCTGCCCCTCCTCATATACAGAGAGTCCCTCTGCCCCTCCTGATATACAGAGAATCCATCTGCCCCAGTGATATACAGGAGTCTATCTGTCCCAGTGATATACAGAGAGTCCCTCTGCCCCTATGCTAGCGAAATATAAGATGGTATTACATTAAATTAGACTTGGCCGATTAGATCATTACATAGAGTTAGACTAGGCTAATCAGATCATTACATTGAGTTAAGCTGGGCCAGCCAGATCATTACATTGGGTTAGACTTGGTCGATCAGATCATTACATTGGGTTAGACTTGGTCGATCAGATCATTACATTGGGTTAGACTTGGTCAATCAGATCATTACATTGGGTTAGACTTGGTCGAACAGATCATTACATTGGGTTAGACTGGGATTGCCAGATCGCTACATGGGGTTAGACTGGGCCAGTCAGATCGTTACGTTGAGTAAGACTTGACTGATCAGATCGTTATGTTGAGTAAGACTTGACCGATCAGATTGCTACGTTGAGTAAGAGTTGACCGATCAGATCGTTACTGTAACGGACCATTTTGCACACAAGGGGTAAAAACCGTTTAGGCGATCGTCCCCTTTTCAGAGATGCAGGCACAGCTACTGTAGAACACCAAACTCACGAACCGCATGTAAGGGAATGCTCCAAACTCCCGAACGGCATACAATATTCGTCCAAACACACGAACTGGAACCATACGAATTGCTGCTAGCAGACGAATAGGAAAAGGATCCAAGTGGCTTACACTCTATCAGCATTCAGTAAATCCCCCCAAAGACGAGACAAGGCTCCGTGTTGAGGGTCAAGCAGTGGTCTGTTTAATGAGGGCTACCTGCCCAGTATTTATGCAGGTCTCCCACCTGGTGGACACTCCCCTAGGCGACCAAATGGGAGACTGTGACAAAAGACAGACAAGTAGACAAATAGGACACACAGTCACATTGTATTCCCACAATGCATCCTGGCTTCCTCCCCTCTGCCTTGGAGATAATTGAGAAGTAATTCAATTATCTCCCAACACAAAGGCAAATCGCCATTATGCATGTGGGGATACTAAAACATGAATTACTATTAAAATACACAGTATGACACAAGTTACACTAAAGCTATACATTTAACATGTCCCCAGATAGCTCAGGTCTGAGCGCACATTATTAAGTGAATGTCGCTCAGACCACACGAATACAGTGTAATCGCCATGGAGCCAAAGTCTTTACACAGTCAGTTCTCATGCAAATGGGCTCCATGGGATTCCTATTTGGGGTATAACATAGTCAAGTAAAACTACCGAACACCGGGCCGTTCATGCACTTTCACCGAACAAGAAGGGGAGCTCGGCGGCTTCAGCGGTGTTCGCGCAAAATTGTGTCTGATTTTAGTTCCATGAATTAAGCGTCGAACACCGCTGTGCGTTCGCGTGTTTAAAATGGCCGCAACCTCGTGTTCGTGATACGAATGGCGGCCACCCAGCAGTCGTCCATTAAGCTGCGGTTAACCGCAGCTTCAGGGAGGCTAATTGCCGGCACACTCCAGCTCCCAGGTGGTCTAGTCATTCGTGCGGTTGTTCGGTAGATTAAATCTACCGAACACCCGTCAGAAAAGCACGAATAAGTCTTTTCTGCAGGTAAAAATATGTCTTTTAACATAGGGGCATAGTCCAAAGGCAGCAGGCGAGCAAACAGGCCTCTCCAATGCAATGTGGCGAGATTGTGCTCTCGTCACAGTTACGTTGAGTAAGATTGGGCCAGACAGATCAATAGATTGCATTAGAGAAGTCTGTCCAGATCATTACATTGAAATAGAAGGGGTCGTCCAAGTCATAAGGACAGATTGTTAAAGTTTGACTTGTTTGGCCACAATGTTCGATAATGAGGCCTTTCTGGAAAGGTCTTTAGGTTGAGTTGTTATGTTGACCAGGTTGTTAGATTAATTTATCCTTGTTTGAAGAGGATGCTTGATTGATGCTGGTCTGGAGTGGTTGTTAGATTGAGTGTGTGTGTACTGTGTAATGTATTGCCTGCTCTCCTGTACTGCTGAGGTTTGCTACCAACTAGGTGGATTTGGCTATGGAGCTTGTCTAGTGCCCTCTGTTGGTAGTAACAGCAATATGCACTACCTGAATAGCAAGACTGGTTCATTTGCATATTCGGGTAGATTTGCATATTGCTAATTCTGCAGACACGTGAGATATTTTCTGTTAGTTATTGTCTCCCCCACCTATTTGGAAATGTGCCATTGTGTTGTGATAAGTCACTGTGTGTTGCCTGCTATGGTTTGACTGTTTGTGATTTTATTGAGTTTTCACAGCAATGTTAATGTGATGACCATATGGGCTAGTCCCAAGTAAAATAAAGGTTTAGACAGTTCTTATTGATCCCTCTAAATGTAGCCTTGTCTTGTTATTGGAGGGAGCTTTTATAATCACACTGGGTGTTGCTATGCTCTGCATACTCGCTTCAGCTTCAATCACTTAGCTCTTTTAAGAGCTTGTTCCTGACACGCTCTACTTGGAGGAGAGGTCTTCCCCACACAGTCCTGGAGGTTCATACAGGGTGGAAGGAAGAGGTCTTTCCCACACGGTCCTGGAGGACAGACGCTGATCCAGGGTGAAAGGAAGACGACTAGACTCCAGTCAAGCTACAGCGGTTGCGGAGTTTGCGGTGGTTGTGGTGTCCGGTGTGGTGCTTGTGGTCCTCGGCGCAAGCTAGGAAGCGTCCATCAACGGAGGGTACTCAGTCGGAGTACGGGGATCTCTGTTACAGATGCTCCTAGCGCTTCCTGAGGGCTCCAAACACTCCAGTCGACAACATAACCACTGTAGACCCCTTCAGAGAGCAAGACAGGAACAAGCTCTGAAAAGAGCTTGGAAGTGATTATCCAAGGGAGCATGCAGAGCATAGCAGTCCCCCAGTAAGAGACAGGACTCTAGATTGAGGGTGAAGTAGAACTCTGGTTTAATGACACACACTCTGCTTTTATGCAATTCTCCCGTGCAAGGGAGACGCCCACAGACAATTATACATTAGCCAATCAAACAATGGTTACATGCCACACATCTCCTCCCCTTAGCCTGAGATGTAACACAATTAGCCGTACAGTTTAAAACATACTTTTTACCCAACTTTCATAACTCTAAAACTATACATCAGCACATTTCAAATACAAACATACCCAAAAATCATTTGAATCCGTTCGGGAGATAGATATAAGTCACTTTTGACTGACCGCAAGCACATTTTCCTGCCCAAAACAGTTCCATAGATTTGGGCTGTGTGGTCGGTCTATTTCACACTGAAAAAATGAGTCCCATTAGAACGTCCGTTCGAATCTTCGAACGGGACTTAGTCTCTGGGGCTGAAAACTCAGTGCAGGAGAAGGTAAGGGTCAGTGGTGTTCGTTGAAATGTGTAGCCGATTTCAGTTCCATGGATTTGGCTACACATACCGCTGACCTTGTTCAAATGAACAAAGATGGCCGCTGCCACGTGTTCGTTTGTCGAATGGCGACCACTTCGACTACTTCGGCTGTATCCGAAGTGCCAATTTAAAGTTGCAACACTGCTCCAAAGTAATTAAAGGGCCAGAAACAGCATTATAAAAATCCATTATGCCCAAATACAGTTCTTAAAGGGTCAGTAACAGTATAATATAAGTCCCAACTCAGTTCTTTAAAGGGCAATACATCCCAGGGGCCATAGTCACATGGCAGGAGGCTGGGAAATAGGCCCCTCCAAAAACCAGTGGCGAGGTCACTTTCGCCACATTATATACTGTGTTATACTGTGTGTTATACCGCGTGTTATATTGTGTGTTATACCGCATGTTATATTGTGTGTTATACCGCATATTATATTGTGTGTTATATGGTGTGTTATACTGTGTGTTATACTGCATGTTATATTGTGTGTTTTACTGCGTTATAATGTGTGTTTTACTGTGTTATACTGTGTTATACCGCGTGTTATATTGTGTTATACTGTGTGTTGTACAATGTGCTATACTGTGTTT